AATCTCTGTGTCACAATTCTTATTCACTTACACCTGCAGATTAAAACAAACTGAAACAATAACTCCTTTAACCCAGCAAAGCCTGCTTTATATAGGGAAGCACAAAGGTAATCTGACCCCTTTTTCTTTGGGTGAGAACCTCCCAGTGAAACTCTTATGCAATTTGCCTGAAGGAACAATATCTGTTATACATCTAGTATTACATACTGCTTGGTTTATTATTTGAAGTGACAGCTATAGCAGAATTGAAATAATTGTTCCCAAACTTTTTCATTAATCAATTTCAGATTCAAACTTTGTTTTTAATAAGAAAAAACACTACCATAATTAAAACCCCTATCACAATTTAAATTACAGATGTGTTTTTCCCTTCTTTTTGGCTCAGCTGTTTCCTTAGGTTGTTTGATATTCAAGAGCTTTTGGCAAAGATGTAAATTAATTAAAATAAATAAATCAAACTTCATGCATAATTACAATGCTGTTCCTATCTAACAATTTGCTGGTTCCTAGTTCAGTCACTTCCTTTGATCTATTTCAGTTGCTGTGGCAAAAATGTTGCTCAGTCACAGCTGGCTGTTCTGTTCTGTCACTGCATTAATTTCCTCTTCCGGTCCCAATTTATATAATTCTAATGTGAAAATATATGTACATATGAATGTTTACATCAGCTGGAGCCTACTCACATCCTAGTATGTGTGGTTGTACATACCTGTTAATTAGTTGTGCTCACACTCCCTCCAAATGACATGATACATAACTTGCTGCAGTTCACCAGCAACAAATGAAAATGGAATGCTCAAAGCTCTCACTGCCTGGATCTCCTCCTTTGTTCGCACCACAACTGCAAGTGCGCTATTCGTGTGAACCCACATTTGCATACCCAGCTCTCACATTGACTATCAGGCTAACAAGAAAGAACACGTGTGCACGCACAAGTACGTGCACTTGGGGCTTATGTGGATTTTAAAATGAATGGGACTAATCCAATTAGCGAGCAACACACATTTACCATTAGATCATGTAAGTGAATGACTATGTAAGAGACAGATATGGGTTGATGTGATGAGAATGCTTACAGGTGAAGGGGAAAAAGAGGGGAGATATTGTTTGAATAAAAGTATTTTTTTTATAAACTGCTTTATTTCAACATCCCAGACAAAGAGATGTATGAGGAGTAATACGTCCTCTCTGAATGAAGTGAATCACAGACATCTATCCAAATCAAACTCCTTCAAGAGGGCTCAAAATTATTTGATTATTTCAATTGTGCAGGTTTAAAACGCCAAACTTAAATGCAATAATTCAGAACTAGACCTGGGAACTCCAAAAGTGGATATTCAGAGAGATTAAGATAATACAGATTAAATTCAAGAACAATCTAATCTGCCATTTTAGTCTTTTAAACAAAATCCAGATGGCATATCATCTTCTAGTAATACAGTGAGAAGAATAGCCAATCAAATTTGCATAAAACCTGTTGCCTTGACTATTTCTTCACATCTTCATAACATTACAAAAATCCAGATCAAGCCATGTCTCAGGGTGATGCGTAAAAACTGGTCCACAGATGTAATACTTCACGATGAAACAACTTTAATTCTAAAATAAAAAGTGTATCAAAATGTATGCCACATTCTCCCATTCACCCACAAGTGAGGTTCATTGTCTCGTCCAAGGAGTCTTTAGCATGTGGCCTGGGAGAAACACAGAGTCAAACTACCAACATTCCAATTGGTAGGTCACCACTTCCTCCTGAGCTACAGTCACCCAAAGAGTTTGCCAAAAGAGTTTGTTATTTACTTTTCACATCTGTTGGTTTGGAACACTAAGTATTCTATTTCTACTGGCTCTTTATAAATTGTATCATTTTAGAATGTATAATACTAAGTGGAATCTAATTGAAGTAACAAGTCAGATAGGACAAAGAATATTGTATCACATTACTTAGTAAGGAAGTGGTCCAACAACAAAAACAATTAAAAAGCATTTAGTGAAAATTTGGCCAATTAAGTTATCCGGGTGCTCAAGGTAACTGTTAAATTACATTACTACATAAAATGATTCTAAAGCACTTCTATGCAGTTATTTTTCTGTGGTCTGGTTTTGTTGGTTTATTCCTGGTTTGTTCATGTTCTTTGGTTTGATTCAACATTCTTTTTAGTTTTCTAAATCTTAGTTTAGTTACCTATTTAGTTATACTATTCTAGCAATCACCAATCCCAGCATCATGCCCTAGTTTTCAGTGTTCATTGCCAGATCTTTGTTTTTATCCATCTTTGCTCTTCTCTGTCATTATGTTCGCTGTTTGTCTGTAATTCAGGAAAAAAAAAAAAAAAGGTTTATGTTAAATTTTTTTTAAACTTAAGTTAAACGTCTCGAGATTTGTGCCAGCATTCGGGTCCTCTTTTTCTTCCACAACCACATTACAGCACACAGTTAGCTGAAGAACACAGATAATAACTTGATAACTTGCGGAAGGACATTTTGCAGGAAATTCTTGAGATTTATTTATTGACTACAATCATTTATTTAGCATACATACTCATTCTTAAATAAATAAAAAAAAGGAATTTTAATAATTTAATTATTTTCACTGGGTTTTGTCGTGTTTTCTTGCAAGTTGATAATCACCTCGATCAAATGATTTACTTTACTCAGTTAAATCTGTCAACCTCAAAGCTTGTTACTTCACATAAGATACATTAGTTGCTGGCTTGTCAATTATATGAATCACCTTGTTTTTGGTGGTCTCTTTTGGTGTATGTGTTTTCATAACCTTTAGCTCCTATCTCACTACTGAAAGAAATATTACAGCTCAAGTAATAAAAGATTGGAATGTGGTACTGTATGATTAATATCTTTATGTGTTCATATATTTAGTCAATATTCAATTAACTAATCACCAGTTACCAGCCCTCAACAGAGATTTGTGTCATATATGTCATTTTTAGAAAAGAATAATCACACTTTTAAGAGATGTGCAAGCTATAGTTTCAAATTATAAGATGGATGCATAATAATAATAATAACTCCACTAGTAGTGGACATCCCAACATGTTGAGAAACAAAACTGAGAACCAATAGAAGACAAATGCAAGGCATGGTAAAGCACTGAAATTCTCTTCTGCATTGGAGCTTGCCTATTTCTGTCAAAACAACTATTACATTTGTTTATTTCGGTGACAGAAAAGGAATAACACCAAATTCTCTACATTCAATCACATCAAGTTTCTCTCCTCAGGCAGCAGTCGATGGCTGATTGAAGGGAGCTCCATGATTGAAAAACAAAAACAAAACAAACAAATAGAAAGAAGGCCTTTCTAGTACATGTCATTACAGCCTTACAGCAACATTACATAATACATAATACATTACAGTGATAATCTTTTATAATCTCTGCGACTGAAAAATATATTACTTTGTTCTTCCTGCTTTTTGATCGCTCACCTCCTCAGTCCGAGCTTCACAATGCTCTTTCGTTGAATCCATCACAACGGGCTCGGGCAGCTGATGACATTCCAGTTGATCTCTGAACTCCTTCATCTCTCTTGACTCTATCTCCCTTCTCCTGCTGAGCAGGTACAGTTCAACAGAATGCCTCCTCTTTGACCGCACAATCCACTTCATCACCAGGCAGTCTGAGCAGGAAGTCTGAAGGAATGCTCCACTGAGATTGAAGCGATTCCCCCCGTCAAAGGTGAAGGTGCTGTTTTCCACCGAGATGTTGTAGGCCAGGTGCTGACACTCATCACCGAAGCGGTTGATCTGGGTGTAAGAAAATGTTGAAACGTCGCTGGAGTTGGAGAAGTACATGGTGATGCTGTCTCTTTGTCCCAGGGCCTTCATGGCCGGTGCGTTGCTGAGACTGCCTGCAACCAAAGCCCATCTACCGTTTAAATGATGGGAAACCATTGACTCCAGAGGGAGAACCAGTTTTTCACAGCCGAGAGGAGTCGAACGGCTCACAGAGAGCAAACAGAAAACAGCGAAAATGCTGAGAACAAACATTTCTCCGCGAGTGGACATTTAGCTTTTACTTTGCTGTTTGCTGTTGCTCTGAGATGGACATGTGTCTCTAAGCCAAAGACAACTACGATTGGATCCAGCCTCTGGATTTGAATGAAATGGTTTCAGCTGTTGACTCGCTCCAAACTTGGATGTTAGTGAGCCAGCATGTCAATTTATACTATGTACCTGGAATCAAGAAATTCCCCTTTTTCCACACAGGATGAGGTCATTATTGCTAGTCTCCAGCAAATGTGGATTCCATGATTATGCAACTGACGTAAGTCTGTTTATTTTTTAAAGATTTTCCTTTGATCCTTTCATTTAGATATTTTTTAGGGAATCTCGTCATTCCAAGAATAAAAACCATTTGTACGGGAATTATATGCGGAACATATCATTATGTTCAATGACATCTGGCTGTTTTGAACATTCTGGTATTTCCTGCGAAAAAAGCTAACCCTCTGGAACAAAGAAAAGTTTATTTTTGTCCTAATATAACTTCTTATGTTTTAGTCCTTTTGAGATCAGCAAACACATCAGTCAAAAGTACTTCAGCTATCTATTTTATCTCTAATTCTGCTAATATATTTTCAGTTTTTCTCCTACATTAAGTATCTTTTAAAATGATTTTCTTCTGTAAGAGCTTAAGAGTCTTGAATCTTAAAGAGATATCCGATTATGATGAAGTGGAATATAGAATGTATACACACGTGCATTAAAATATGTGATAATTGTAGAAGTAAATCTGGTGGCATTCATGTTTGCACAGTTATTCAAACTCAAGGACGTCCTCATGTGGAAACACCATTGCAGTTGTTCAAATACAAATATTGCTCAATCTGAAATAATCAGGCTAACCACGCAACTCAAAGGTGACTGGACTTTTTCTTAATGTGTTGAAATAATGGAAATTTCATAGACAATCTGAGCTATAAAACAGGCAACACTTGGTAGAAAAGTGAAGGTGGACAATCCCTTTAAAAAAACAAAACATGATGTTCTCCAGTACGAATATGTTTGCTGTGGTGTTTGTCACTGTCCTCGTTTTGCTGCCTGTGGGTTTGTCAGCCTCTCTGACCTGCGAAGACTTACTGCGGCCTTTGGATCAGCCGGATCTTCATCATATGGTGGGCAGATGGGATTTGGTTGCAGGCAGTTTCAGTGATCCAGCGCACCTGGAGTTCTTCAAATTTAGGAACAGCTCCAATATTTACATCTCCAATGCGACGTCAAGCTCCGACATTACCTATACGACCGTTGTCCATATGGGTGGAAAGTGCCACTACGGCACTTACAACGTCACCCTCAAAGGCAGCACCATCGTCTTCGATGTACGACATCAGATAAAAACAACTTTGACTTTGATTTGTACATCTTGTGCAGATTGTGTGGTGATGCGCTTTGACAACGGTTCAAAAAAAGCAGAACGCTTGTGGCTGTTTAGCAAGAGAAGAGAGGTGGACCCAAAGGAATTGGAGGAATTCAGATCTCAAGTGGAGTGCCTGAACATGCTTCCACCTGTTGTCATGGATCCCAACAATGAGATTTGTAAAGAACTGGGCACTGAAAAACATCAAGAAGCCTAAGACATGTTATTGCTCTGTTTTTGAAAGTCTATGCTTTTTCCTTCTTGGAAAATTTCTTAACTTCTTTCTCACTTCATCTTCAAATTCTTCTTAAATCGATCAATTTAACAAAATCTTCACACTGAACAAAGTTTTCGAATAAAACACCATTGTACTAATTTAGTGTAAGATGACCATCAATGTTCACTGTTTCAGAATTATAGCAATCAAGATAGCTTGATTCCAACAGTGTTAAATATTTTGTAACATTTGGTTGACATTTACCACTAGTCAGCATGTTTGCTTTGTTCTATACTGCTGTTAATTAAACTTAAATTATTTGGTGATCCTTTTCTTTGTTTTAACATAAGTCTTATTTGGACATGGTGCAGTTATCCCTGTTATCACACCAATAACAAGTCTCCAGAAACCAAAGGCTTGAAAGGGCTGCACACCTACTTATTTAAAATGTTTGGAAGTACATTCAGATTTTTGACTGGTATTGTTAATGTCTGAGCTATAAGAATCACACATTAAAAAACAAACAAAACAAGACTCATATGTATATTCTTGAAAAATGGGAAATGTTAGAAATTGCTAAGGTGAATGTTTTGAGTCTGGCTAAAATCAATAATAAAGTTGTGATGTGCAAGTCATTTTGTGTAGATCTTATAAAGACATTCATGAGATTCAATGCAACAAACAATTACACTGCAATATGAGATGGAGACAGCAATGTGGCAGAGAGTGAAGTAAAAGATTATTTTGCTAATGGAAGTTAGAAATGAGGAAAACACACATGGTCATTTTGCATATCTTCTTTATCATTCATAAAAATACAGCAAAATTAGCATTCTTGGAATGTATTTATTCTACAACATCTGTCACGGCAACAGCACTTCAATGTTTTCATAATCTCAAAATCATAAACCCACATCATATCCTTTTGATTGAATAAGATTAAATAATACTAATCTCATTGATTGTATTTTATCTGTTTACATGATATACATCTTGTTTTGACTGTGACCCACGGAATCCACATAATTTATTAATGCTGTAACCTCTAATCCATGAACGTTTATTTGAATCATTACCCGCTGTGACAAAAAGTCGCAGTCTGTTAGGCCTCGTTTGGTCCCCTCGGTTTCCTCGTCAGTGGCTCAATCCCTTTACATCTCTTCTGGACAAAGCTTCTTGGTAGGATCCATGTCAACGGGCGCGGACATCTTGAGACACTCAGCCAGGGCTTTAAATTCCTCCATCACTTGTGGCTCCACTTCCCTCCTCTTGCTGAACAGGTACAGTCGGACCGGTTTGTCGGCCTTGTCGTTGAAGCGCATCACGGTGCAGTCTGGGCACGAGGTTCGGAGGACGGTCACGGTGACATTGAACTGAGAAATGCTGAAGCCGCTGCCTTCCAGTGTGATGTTGGACCGCGTGTACTGGCAGTTGTCGTCGGAAGCGTAGACGCGCGTTAAGGTCATGGAGCTGTCGCTGTGATTGGCAAAGAGAACCCTTGCGCTGTCTCGTTGCTTCAGGCTCTCCAGTTGCGCTGGGTCGGCCACGCTGGCCGAAACTAAACTCCACCCGCCCTTCAGAGAATCAAACTGAAGTTGATCCAAAGGTTGGATCAAGTTTTCACAAGACAAAGGAGCTGAATGAGACACAGACGCCCAGCAGACGAGCACAATGAAACACAAAGCAAACATGATTTTGAATTATGAACTGCTGCTCTGGTGGTAAAGTGAAAAAGATGAGACAGTGAGGGCAGCCCAGCTGTTTTTATAGTTTAAAGACCTGTGGTTTCATAATACAAAATCTACAGATCAGAGTCCCCTCTGCTTGTTTGTTTGTGATTGTGAAACAAATATCATGTTCTGGGGCAAGCAATTGATTAGAGCCCTTTTCTGTGGGCTCATTAAGCCTATAATGCCAAATGTATCATATTTGATACATACAGTTTCGGAAGTCTTTTGGATCTGAGACTTTTTGAATCATTCAATGGTAAAAGCTTTGCTCAAACCCCTGTTGTACTCATTCAGATATACCTGATAACAGCCAGTAAAAGACAACAGGAAAATATATTTTTGACTTATTGCACGTTAATTTGATCAAAATCATTTCTGTTTTTTTTTTCTTCATATGTTGTTGAGGGGCCAAAGAAAGGCTTCAGACCAAAAAAGTCCAGTATTCTTCCTATTTTTCTTGGATCAGGCTTTAACGGGTTAAACATTTACCAATACATTATGTTGTAAGCACTTGAATCCAAAGCCTGGTGGGAAAAGTCTAACAAAAGGCTCATGTGATCAGTAAAAATGTGTAATCTTTTTGCTTTTTACTTGGTAAAATCCTGTTATTTCATATTTATCTATAAGTTTTTGTGTAGAGTCTAGTGTCGACATAGAGAGACTGCTTCTAAATATGTAAAGTTATGTTTGTACCTGGTTATTTGTATCTTATTTTTACATGTCAAAATGTATATATCATGCTGTACAGATACATACATTTACCATACAGATCTACAAGAAGATTGTGCTGATTGTAAAAATACACTTATAACACAATTTGTAATGGATTTAGCTTTTCATGGTCATTTTGAAAAAAAAAAAGTAATCCAAGAGCAGGTACCTTAATGTTAACTACATCACAAATTGAAGGTCAGGAAAAACCAACTAAGTCGTTCCATCACTTTTTAAAATAAGTTATTGTGACTTTTAAACAAGTTTTAAAATATTATTTTAAACCTCCCTCAAGCAAAGAGGATATGAACCCAAATACACACAATATTTCTTGCTTATGTTTTTTTAATTTTACAAAATGGTACATCTGTTTGAAAAAGACATTTGTTTCATAAAGAAATTCAGTTAAACATGATGAAACTTTTATGCGGTGAAAGGCCAACTTGTTGAAAATTCTTTGAGCCACAGAAGTCCAAAACAAAAATGCAGATGAGATAAAGGATATTCTTTTTTTTATTTTTCAGTCCTTCTGTGGTGCAGGATTTTGTTCGCTTTTAGATGATGCATCACTTGAAGCCTGTTCAGGGCAGATATCCTTGGTCGGATCCATCACAACAGGTGGGGGCAGGTTAAAACACTCCACCTGGGCCTTGAACTCCTCGATCTCCTCCTGTTCCAGCTTCCTCCTGCTGCTGAAAAGGTAAAAATGCTGCCGCTTCCCAGACTCCACGTCGAAGCTCAGCAGTATGCAGTCGCGACAGGATGTGTGAATGAATGTGGTGTTGACGCTGCCGTTATCAAAGGTGAAGCTGCTGCTCTCCAGGGAAATGTTGTAAGAAGCGTAGTGACACTTGTTATCCAACCTCCTGCTGCGACTGAAGCGAATGCCGGTTCCGTTGGAGATTGCGGAGAACTGAGCCGTGGCGCTGTGTCTGAGTCTGAGTCCCTCAAAATAAGGCAGATGGCTCAGACTGCCAGCAACCATAGCCCTCCTACCCTCCAAATGATGTAGATCGAGTTGATTCGAAGGCCGGATCAAGTCCTCACAGGCCAAGGGTGCGGAATGGCCCGGAGATGTCAAGCAGAGGAGAACCACAGTGGACATAGCCAATATAATACTGTTCATTTTGATCATAATTAACTACTGAATTATGCATGGAAAGTCTCAGTGACAGATTTTGAAAAACCTGGATACCTTCATGGCTATATACTTGTCAGAAACTCGTCATTTCACAATTCTGGAAATGCCAGAAAGTGGAGTTGGCCAACCACTTTGCACAAGAACCAGCCACTTTCTTTTTCTTTTTTTCTTCTTTAACTGTGACAGCAGGATAACGGGGTTGATCCAATACAAATAAAAAGTTACGCATAAGTAGTAGGATAAACAAAAACGGAACAAAAACTTAGGATAATGGTTTGTGCAATGTTTGTCAAGCTGATGAGTCCGCAAACCCTTCTATGTGGACTATGTGTAGGCTGGCAGAAACAGACACGTGTAACTAACTCAAGAGAACACAACACTGGTAAGATGGTGGCTACAATGTCCTTGTCATTTTTTTATTATTATTTTTTATCTTTAGAACTAACCATGACCCATTTCCTTCCCTAACAAAGCGATGTGGCAGTCCAAAGAAAACTAGGAAGTTTCAAAGGTTTAAAGTAACATGTTGTTTTTACATGAGTCTATTGGTTTAAACACAAAAGTGTTGCTTGTTTATCTGTTAAATAAAAATCTGAAATAGCTAAGTTGTCCTTTTTGCCTCCATTGGTCTTGATGACAGCTTCCATTCTTACTCTGATTGCTTTTATTCAGGTTATTTTGTTCTTAACTTCTAAAGTTTCTTTCTGTTCCCACAAGCTTGCTTTGGGTTATATTTTTGGTGTGATTAGACTTTGAATCTATTGATTTCTACATAGAGTTTGACTTGGCTCCTCCATCAGTTCAAGCTCTCCAAGGGGTTTCTGGGTGTTTTAAGGCCACAGTAGTGGTGGTAACTCTGATTTAGAAGCATTCCTCCCTACCCGAAGATCAGCAGGGGTCTTCCTTCTGTTCACTGGTACCTCAAATCTGCTGCAGTTGACCTTTTTTGCCTGCTTCTTTCCTGACTCAGCAAATACTGCTCTCTGCAACAAACTCGATGCTATTTCAGCCAACTCAACCAGTGAAACCATCTGTTTTGTTTAGGAATATAAATTAATCTATATACTCTGTAGAACAGCATATGTGAAAACAATTGTTATAATTGCACCAGCAAATCTGAATTTAAATGAATATTTTCAGAAAATGGGCTTAAGAATGTAACCAAAACAACAAACCATTAATGACCGTTTCAGTCGGAGCATGTGTAGCTGCGGTCGTGCAGTGACTTTCAGCCCAGAATCGTATTTTGTTTTTGTTTTTGTTGAGTTGCCTGCAAATGGCAGGTCGGTGGTTTGATCTAAGGCTACATGTCGTGGTTTCTTTGGGCGAGGCATTGGACCCCCATTTGCATGCCATGCAGCATCCAATGTGGCATGGCGTCCTGTGCCCTGTTTGTGCTGATCTCAAGCCCAGATAGA